TATCTATCTATCTATCTATCTATCTATCCATCCATCCATCCATCCATCCATCCATCCATCCATCCATCCATCCATCCATCCATCCATCCATCTCTTAATTTCCTAGTTCTTAACCACCCTCTCTTTAGGATAGGGGCTATATCTACAATATAATTAATAAGATTAACATTAAAATCAGGCTTACTTTAAGATTTAAAAGTTTTAAAATTACAAAAATAACATTACATTACAAAAGGTGAGAAATTCCAAGAAGGAGGGGTGTGTGTGTATTAGCAGTTGTTAATGGGGGAGGGGGGAGGAGTTCTCCTGGGGTCAGCCAGCCCCAGAGTTGTGTGGGTCACTGTATCCCTCAAGCAAGGCCCTCCAGCCACTAAGTGTGTCATTTAATGGGGTGAAAATTAATTTTTGAATTTTTTCCTGGTGTGGGGTTCTAAAAATACGTGTTTTTAACACCAAGAATTCAAATCTGTTATTTTTGTAATTGCACATTTAGTTCATATGAGAAAGCCACATCTGATCATATACCCCACAAATACTGTTAAGTTTATCTTCTCAAAATTACATGTTGTGCAGTGGTGGGATTCATTTTTTTTTTACTATTGGTTCTGTGGGCATGGTTTGGTAGGCGTGGCAGGGGAAGGTTACTGCAAAATCCCCATTCCTTTCACAGCCGGCATGAACATTTGTAGAATCTCCTCCAATGACCATGGGGATGCTGCCACAGTCATAAGTGTGAAAAATAGTCATGACTCACTTTTTTCAGTGCCGTTATAACTTTGAATGGTCACTAAACAAACTGTTGTAAGTCAAGGACTACCTGTACTTTTAGACTTGCAAGATTCTGTTTATGTAGCCTTACATAAACTACCTAGGGAAGCTGATACATGTGAACCATAGGACTTGCTGTAACCATCAGGGATGGCTAACCTTTTTATTGTTGGGTGCCAAAAATGCAAGGGTATGCACCTGATAGCGCAGGTGCGTGCTCACACCCATCATGCAAAGCACGATCCCACATGTGCCTGCACATACAACCCCCCACCCCATGCTCCCCCCTCCCTGTGCGCTGCACTGCTCGCTTTCAAGCTGACCTTGGTATTTCCTTGGGGGTGGGGCAGAAGAGCCTGTTTTCACCCTCCCCAGGCTTCAGGAAAGTCTCTGGAGCCTGGGGTGGTTGAAAAACTTTGGTAGGCTTGTTGAATTGAATTGAATTGAATTGAATTG